CCCCCCCCCCTTTGCTGAAAAGGCGCTCCCCACCGCACGCGCAGCGCATCGTGCAAGGAATCGCCCGAACTCTCCGGCGCCGCGCGCCGGAGCAAGGTGGCCGGGCTCTCAGCCAGGGAGACCAACAAAGGGAACCCCTCCTGAACGAAGCGTGGATGGCTGTGTTTTGGGCTGTTTGTTTTGGACTGTGGTAGGGCCCACTGCGTGGGTCGTACTGCGGGGGAGTTGTGAAGCGAAGGTTTCGTGATGGTGTTCTTGGTTTTGCGCGATGGTCGACTCCGTCAGGCACCGGAGTCGACCCAGTGCCACTCTCTGTGTGGCGGTGGCATCCACCGCGCAGGTCGAACGACGCGCCATGCACCGTTTGCAGTTCAAGTGTCCACTGGATGGTCGCAGTCCACCCGCACCTGAAGCACGCACCGTGGTAGAACCCACGGATGGACAACACACGGCTCCGTGGCCATGTTCATCAAGGTGTGATGTGGAATGCTGGGCTGTGAAATAAAGATGCAGCATTCGGAGCTACCTATTAAAAAAAAAAAGTGTTTGTCGATAGTCGATCGCCCAAGAAGATGGTGGAATTCACAAGAATTAAGCCAGGTCAATCTCTCCTTGCGAATGGTTTCACTATATATCATCATGGAACTGGCATGATGGTAGATAGATCTTCTCTTGAGGCGATCAACCTGGCTGTGTTGGATTGGGATTTGAGAAACACCGCCGAGATGCCGAAGCGATCTGTGCTGAAGCACCATCCTCGGTTTGGGCTCTGGCTGATCGGCGGAGGCGATCGACAAAGGAACCCAGCGACGTCGGAGATGCCTACCGTAGGAGACGCCGGGTTGCTGGACGAGTTAGGTCTCGAAACGCTCGAGGAAAACGAGAGGCCGCAGGTGCATCTTCCAGCAGGAAATCCTTGTTCAGGAGGGTTCCGAGAAAGAAAGTTGCCTCCCACAAACCGCGCACAATTGTGGTTGATCAATGGTGGTTTATCCTGACCTCCAAGTAAACAAACCAAAAGAGCCGGAACCTGAAATCTTCCCCCAAACCCATCCATCGACATCCTTTAGTTCACATAGGTCGACACATGTCTGCAAGTGGGCAAACTCCAACAAATACTACAACTTGCACTAGATGTGGGCCAGTCTCGGTCAATCACTTTTGAGGTTTCAGGGGAAGTCTTGGCTGGCTCAGCGACTGCTCCACTTCAGCGAATTGAGGCGACTCGCACTTCTGTCATGTTTGTCTCCCGTTGTCTTGGACTTAATCTCTGACATCCCTCGCATCTCACTCACTTACACGAAGAGGGCTCTCGGGACATTGATGACTCCATCCTTCCCTGGGCAAAAAAAAGTAGGAGAAACCATAGAAACCTCCATCCTTCATCATCCTTCCCACATGTCTCCAAAGTGCTGGTTCCGTCCAGTCGATGGGCGGCACGTTCTTCACCACCAAGGTGAAGCCTCGTCACGAGGTCGTCACGACCAACACGACCAACAAGAAGGTCGCCGTGTTTGCGAGCCGTAGACAGTAGGGCCGGGTACTTGGCTGTGCTTATACGGATATGTCATGCTATGGCCATGGCTATCAGAAAGATAGATGTGCCCCATCGTGCACCCGAAGATGAACATGGAACCTGATGACATGGACGATTCCTTCACAAACCAGTGCTGAACTTCAGGTTCCATGTGCTTCCATGCTCTTCTTCCATCAATCACAGGATCGAAGCATGTGAGAGGAAGCATGCGGTCGTTCCACGGTTCAGCCGCCGTGGTCCGCTCCACCCAGCGCCACCGAGGTGATGGCCCAGGCACTGAGTGTCTGGCCCAAGCTGCCCAAGCGCTCTCCTGAGAGTCGGCAGAGTCGGTGCCAACGATCCGGATGTAACAGCTGTGGCGGCAGAAACCGGCAGAAACCGGGTGTGTTTTTTCCACCGAACACATGGAACAGAATGGAACAGAAGCCATATCAACTGGCCAGGTCAAGCGGATTTGCAGTTCCTGGTTTTAACCCACGGCCATATCACCACTCCATACAGGATGCTGCAAAAAACAGATCCATCGACTAGTCGGTTCAAAGAAGTGGTTGATCCAGACCATCACGCTGAAAGATTCTTGTAGGAAAAAAAATATAGGATTATACAAGTTGTTCAATCCAAATGGGGGGGGAGGTGATTATAATATAACTTAACTCATACCCAGACACTCCATGGGACTGCCATATATGCCGCCCCATTGACCCCTAAAACCAACCACCCCAATGTAGATAGGCATATATGGCAGTCCCATGGGTCGTGTCTGGGATATTATATATTTCCCATTCTACATTCCTCTGACTCCTCACTGCCTGGGTCTCCCCTTCTGCCAAGTCGCCATCGTCCAATTCCCTGAGTCCCTCCGACTCCGTCGTGAGGCTGAGCGCGGCGGCGCCGCTGCCCAGTGCCACGGCCAGGCGCTCCTTGAGCTCTGAGACCTGGATCTCCAACAACTTGAGACTCGAAGTGGTCGTTCATCAGTTGGAAGGAAGGATGGGTGGAGGCTGTGGAGCCAATCAAGAGGGATACATCGAGATAGCACGAGATAGCCCAGTTGAAGAGCCACTGGAACCTTTTTGTCAAAATGTGCTTGAGCAAAAGCTCCCAGTGCCCTAGTCACTGAAGCCAACCCTCCCAGCTCTCAGCTGCGGAGAGAGATGCGGTGGTCTCAGCTGGCAGCTCAAACGGAAAGACTCGGCCACTCAGGGTGTGAACCGAGATCTCCTTGGCGCCGTTTGCTTCGGGGAGACAGGCGTTGTTGCATCTTTCTTCTTGGTGCTTCTATGAGGGATGAGGCATGAAAATGCCTGGAAAGCCAGCAAAAGGCTCTGAACGTGTCAGCAGGATTTGGAGTTTAATACTGCTCTCTTTAAACAGATTCAGTAAAACCCCGCAACATGCCTCAACCAAGAAGTCTCAGGAACTTCGTTCATGGCTCCTCACATCTAACAGAATCTAACAAGTAGAAACTTGAGGCCGAGGGTTGGTGACGAAAGCTAGCAGGGCGGGGGTGAGCATGGAAATACATTACATCCCAGAGACGTCCCAGGGAGGCGTTGAACCCCCCCCGAGGGGCCACCCACCTACATATGAAGTGTTCACGTGATGCGGCACTCTCGAGGATTCCAGCCCCTCATTTGCTAAAGCAAGAACAACTCCAGCTAGCTCGTGCTAGCTTGGAGACAGAGCCTTCTGCACCTTGCTCTTGAATCTCTGGTCGCGTCCACCCTGGACTTTTTGCGAAGCCAATGCATACCAGCCCCTATTTGGAGGAAAGCCTGCACAATGGCCAGCTTCTACAGGCGGTTTGCACAACAAACGAGTTGAGTTGATCATGGCTGGAATCATTCCCTCATGCCGACCCAAAATATTCCCCACCCATGCATTTAGAGAATCCACATCCATTGCTGAAGGGCTGGTGACAGGCATATGGAAAGTCTGAGATGCATCCATGGCTTATTGATCCGGCTTTTGCAGAGTTTGTTGAAGTGCTCACCAATGAGAGCCGACATATGGAAATTGGACTCCTCAGCACCTTTCCAGCCATATGCTTGCCTACTGCAGTACTACAGTACATCAAACGATCCATTGAAAGCTCTGGAGCCAACACTGAGTCAATATTGCAAAGCTGTCCTCTCTCACTCGCAAATGTCAGAAGAAAGCGAACGCAAGAGGAAGGCAAAACGAATCGAACGACGCGATTCCGGCCACCAATTGAAGAAACTTGCTAAATTAAAAGCAACTCCAGCTAGTTTGATGCTAGCTTTCGTGAATACTGGGAGGTGTCAGGCATCTAATGAAAAGCCTTGTCTTGCCCTCTTAATGCCTCACTAGTTGCCCCTGATGTACTTCCCCTTGGTGGGGTGCTCTATGCTAGCAACTGTTGTCTCATGTCGTCTCACCTGTCTGCTCCCTGAGCTCCCGGCCAATCTGCACGGCCGTCTGCACGTGCCGAAGCAGCACGTGGACGCCACGCCGCAGAACACGCACGTGGCGCGTGGATGTCATAGGGCGCGGCGCGCGGGTCGGCGTGGTAGCCTGGCGATTGAAAATTATGATCAAAATGGAAGTGGATAAACAATCAGATACATAGTGGATAGGTCCTAGGTCCAAAGCAAAGTACTATGCATTTTGCACCTTTTCCACACTTTTCCACGCTGCAGTTCACCCACATCTGCTCCGCGCACCTCTCGCGCGCCCTTCTTTGCAACCGCCCGTGGTGGGCCCGCGCCTGCGGCCTGAAGCCTTGGACGTAGTAGAAGTTCACCCTGCCGAGTAGCGGTGCGACACGCGGGGCCATGGCGTCGTCCACGCGGAGCGGTGGGGGGGCCATGGATTCGGTCGATGGAGGCGTTGGGGTCCGGTGCTGAAGAGCTTCAGGCGTTCGGGTGCGAAGTCGGTCATGCAGAGAATCGTCTTTCTTGGAAATTCAGTCCTATAGAAGATGAACATTCAAATCTGAAACCACATGGGTTGTAGAGGACAATTATGGGACATATCTGAAGCCCACACGAAAATATGATGTAAAATGGAAAAGGTCTTCCAAAGCTCCATTTTCCGGTTCCATGATGTTCCGTGTTGAACTTGTCCTTCCCAGAAAACCGTCGATCTGATTGCCAGCCAGCGGCAGTTTTTTGACTCGGGACTTCAGCATGTACTTGGATGGCAGGATGCGGATCAGCACCTGGAAGCAGTGCTCTGGATGTGTCACCAAATGAGGACCAAGATCCACCAAGTGGAACCAAGTGGGATCGATCTGACGGGAGAGGCTGGGTGGAACGTGTTCAAAACACTTTTTGGGACCAATCATAGTGGAAAACCACCTCAGTTTGGCATTCAGAAACACCCTTTTCAAGGGCCATCCATAGGAACATCCTTCCAAGGGCCATCCATAGGAACACCCTTCCAAGGGCCATCCATAGGAACATCCTTCCAAAGGCCATCCATAGAAACACCCTTCCAAAGGCCATCCATAGAAACACCCTTCCAAGGGCCATCCATATCATCCCATGTAACGCCTCAGCGCGCCGTGGCGTCGTCGACCAGCGCGCGATGTGACCCCACCGATGTGTTCCGTGGCTCCGATGAGCCCCGCCGCGCTCCAAAACCTCCAGCGCCTCCAGCCAGTGGGTCTGGAAGTGAAGCGCCTCTAGACCAAACACCCGACCCCTTCGCCGCCAGCGAAGTCACCAAGTTTGGGACAAGCACACTGGACCCGGCAAGGCCAGAGAATGTGTTGTTTGATCTGAACTTGCAGCCTGCGGGCTTCCGAGCCTCAAATCCTACGTTGACAAGCCTGATTCCAACTGGATGTTCCTTTCGTTCCTCTCCTCGTCAGGGCTGCAGCAGGCCAAGAGCTCTCGTGCCGTAATCCCATCAGCCTCGCTGAGGAAGGCGAAGCACGGGCGTCCCGCACGGGTGGGAACGTCACCCAGCTACCCCCAGCTACATGGGACCCGTCGCCTGCGCCGACACCGCCGGACGACGACACGGCCAGTCTTCCTCTTTCCTCCAGTCGACCCACTTTCGTTCCAGGACCGTGCCCAAGTGGCCCACGGCACACGCTCCAGCTCTAGGCAGTCGAAGGTCTCAGAGCCTGGCGCTCTTGTCCGGGCGCTCTTTTCGGGCGAGGGGTGAGATTCAAATGGATTCGGGTCAAGTCTCGCAGTATTCGTGACAGACTGTTGGGTGAAAGTGTGGTGCCTGAGAGGCAGGCCCGTGCGCAGCAAAAGGTGACAGCGTCTCAACGTCCTCGTTCCCCAAACTAGCCTTGCACGTACAGTAGCTCCCTCCTCAGTGGAAAGGCTAGCCAAGACCCAAATTCCCAAAGAGAAGACCATAATCATGAGAACCATGTCGAGCCCCTTGGGGGGCGATACTTTTTCACAGGATGGGGACCAACTGTGACCGTGGCACGGCGGAATCCCAGCCCCCTGATTCCTTCCTCCCAGTCTGGCCTGCACTGCTCTCAGATAAGAGTTGAACCTCCTGCGTCTTCAGTTCCTGAGACGCACGTCGATGACGTCAGTCCATCGGCCCGAACCGGAAGCCATCGGCCGACCGCGAACCGAACCGCGAACCGCCACCGGAGCGCGGAGCCCGGGTGAGAAACCGCTCTCCGGAGCTCGGACCGGTCGAAGCCGGCGGTGCGCAGCGGATCGAAGCGGTGCGGAGAGCAAAGAAAACTCATTTTTGGAAAATAAAGGGAAAACCTGTTTGTTCCATTTTGTTCCTAGTAGCTTCTTGTTACTAGTAGCGATGCCAGGAGCCCCGAACGTAGCGTCCTTGCTCCTAGCAGCGATGCCAAGAGCCCCTAGTAGCTTCTTGTTCCTAGTCAATGAATCGGTCCACCTCGTAGTCACCAGTTCTAGAAACTTCGTGGCTCGTCCCCCAACGCCCAAAACCTGCTTGAAAACCGAGCTCCTCGGCCACCTGATCGAGGAAAGGTCTCAACTGTCGCAGCTGTTGGGGCGAGAGCTCCTCAAGCCGCGAAGACTTAAGGGCTGGAGGAAAGCGCCGCGGTTTGTCTCAAGATGAAACCGTGTGTTGGCACCCTTCCGAAGCATGCCAACAAGCGCATAATAAGGAGACCCCCCAAAGTCTGCAGGAGGTTCTTTCAGGTGGTCTTTGGCACGCACGTATTGACTGGGTCAGGCCTCGAAGAACGGCCCATGTTTGACAGGACCGGTCCAATGCCGAAGCTGCGGCAGTCACACCAAACGCCGCTCCGGCATACTTCCCATGCGAGCTGCACTCCCCGCACCAGCGCCCAAGGGCCAAGGCTCCTGAAGCTCTCCTTGGGTATCTGGGAAGGAGACCCAAGTCTTCCCATCCACCTCAGGACGTGCATCGTTCAGGCGCGACGTTCGACTCATGTGCATCCACACGTTCGGGGGACGAGCGTGGTGAAGAGCCGGTGCATCGACGAAACCTCGCAGGCCCCGGCGGCTGCTGCGTTTTGTCACTAGTCTGTCAACCAAGAGAGGTTGAATGACCCTATAGACTATCCCATAGGTACCCCAGTAGGGTCCTATAAGGTCTTTCAACCTTTGTTGGAATGTTGAACATTCCGTGGCGGTTGGGATCAGTTCGACCGGAGCTCGGACAGCCACCATACCAGGGGTCACAAGACGGGGTGGTGTTTAGTCCCCTAACGTGAGTGGATTGGCTGGGCACCCCGACTACCTCCATGGATAGCACCCTGTCGAACGTGAGCCCTGGTAATTAGTCATTCCGATCTGGTTTGTTTGCCTCTATGCTCTGTGTGAGCCACAACCAGTGGGTGACACGTCAGTGGCTGCCTTCAGCCAGCAGGAACATGGATCTTTCGGAGAACCTTTAAGTTTAAAAACAACAAATATATAAGCAAAGCTGAAAGCAACATGCATCTTGAAACTCACCGGCAGGACTGCCATTTTCTCAGCTGGCCCTCGAAAATTTGATGAAATGCACTCCAACCTTAACAGGATGACCCAGCCCACCCCACGACGCCTGTGACAGCAGGACTCCAGCATTCTGCAGCAGGATGCGCTTGTCCTCCCAGCCCGCTAGGAGCGGCCCAAACGCGTCGCTCGTGTCCAAACGCACGGGAAGTCAAACCTAACCTGCTCCTGGTGCCAGGCACCGCGTCGCTTAATCGTTGCCATTAGATATCATTAGATCGACCAAAACCGTTGGTCGATCGACCCACCTCCACCCTCGCAGAGATCACAAACCCGGAGGCTCCGCGCAGACCGCGCAGCCGACTCTCGGTGACCTCGGAGATGTCGCCGTCGTTGACCACGGTGCGGAAGAGCTCACGCATGCAGAGGATCGAGGCCTCCGAGAGCCTGCCAAACGGCGGTAGGTTCGCGGCGGCGCCGTCGCTTCAGGTTGGGTCGGACGGTTTTTGGGGAAAATTCAGGTCAAAGCTCAATGTTTTTTTGAAGACGGGTGGTGGCTTTTTCCGTTCACCTTGTTTTGTTTTGTTTCTCTCCTTCCAGCGTGCCAGAAGAACTCATGGGCAGCTGTAATTGTTCCAATCTTTTTGCGTTCTGCTTTCAATGGGCTCTCCTCTCATATACCCTGTTGTACTGGGACCTGACCCCCTGGGCTGACCCCCTGGATTTGATCCACTCAGTACGGCCCTCTATCTCTCATTTGGCCTTTCCATAAAACTCGGTCCTTCAAATCCTCTCCCCACCTTCGCCGCTTGCTGGGCCGCTCTCCCACTCCGTCATGCTGCCCCTCCCGGCGCTTCCGGGACGGGAGCGGCTCCATGGCGGGCGCATGACAAAGCGCACGGCCGATGCGCTGGCTCGTTGATGTGAAGGCCGTTCGTTGAGTCCAAGACTTTCCAAGAAAAGGGTCTTTAGATGATGCGTCTTTAGATGATGCCAGTGCCGGTCCAGGAATTTCATTGATTCGGTGGTCCCCTGAAAAATCTGTCATTCCCAAGCCTTGATCTCATGCGGCTTCGTCGCCAGGGCGACACAGTACTATGCTGGCCCGGTGGCTCTCCGAAAGTGCTCGCCTTTTTAGAAACCACATATGAGTGTGAGGGCGTGAGACTCCCAAGACGCATGCGGCTCAAATGGATCTCTAAGCTTGGGCCATGGGGGGGTGTCAAAACGCGTCACAGGCGCCGTGCTGGGCTGAGATGTGAGTGCATCCAGCAGCCCCCCGTCAGTCAGAAATGGGAGGAATCCCTTGAAATAAACACCATCCAAGCAGCCCAAGGAGAGGGATGCAGGGGCAACATTTGTTCGAAACCCACATTTTTGCAGACCAATCCATGCACCAAAGGCAATGATTCCTGACCTTTAATCTCCCACGGCTTTGTTGTCAGTACCTGCTTCATTACTAAACCAGCTTTTCTGGCACTAACCTTCCACAGCGTTGTCTGCCTTAGCTTGACTTCATGCAGCTTCCAAATGTGTCCAAGGTTGTTCAAGGTTGACTCTGGCTCTGCTGGCTCGTCTTTCCAGCTGCCATATCGGCTACATTCTTCCACAAAGTTTGGGGAAAGCATTTTCCAAACCTCACGTTTGCAGGGCCCTAGCGGCCTACTTCGGTGGCTCCAGCCCATCGGGTTCTGCCCTTGCCATGACCCGCTCCAAAAACGCCCGCTCCTTCTGGACATTGAAAGGGCACCACAAGGGTTTCTTCTCAACAATGCGTGGAAACGAGGGGTCGCGGGTCACGTGACCGGCAACTACACGGTCACGTGACTTCAAAGACTCGTTGCAAGCGGCTTTGACGCGAGGGGGGCAGTCCATCCCATGGCTTTTCGGGCTTCCATCTGCTGCTGCTGACGCGAAGGGCACCCCAAATGTGTGTCAAAGCACATCTGCCCGAGAGTGACAGGAGGTTGGTCTTCCATTTTGAGAGCTACGTGGGCACAGGTAGATGCTGGACCATGCTGGACGTTGCTGGACCATGCTGAAGTCTGAAGTAACTTGAAGATACTTGAAGTAAGTGGCTGGGTGAAGACCAGCGGAGCACCAGCTGTTTGTAGAGAAAACATGGTCGTTTGTTTTTCGGGCCAATGCCATCCACTTCCAGAGCTGGTGAAACCCACAAGTTGCGGTCAGGATGTTCGGGGGTCTTCCGGAGAGTGTCTTTGTGACATTCCTCTCAATCTGCCTGTCTCAGGTATACCGAATTTGCAGGTATGTGGCCCTTTGGAGAGTTGAGTGGCCTCAAACCAGGAGATGAAAGGTCACTTGGAAGAGCTTCGCTATGTCGAACTTCTCGTCAGATCTAGCTGAGCTGCCATATGCAAAGCCCAAAAAGCTCCATTGGTCAAAGCAGTTGCGATCCACGTCGTCAGCGTTTGCTTCCAGCTTCCAGCAACAAGCACAGCAACAAGCAAAAGATGTCCATTCTCAGCTGCAAAAATGACTTGGCTCATGGTTGAATGCATGTCGAATTCGCAGCTGCTCCATGTCGTCCACTGATGCACCGACATTTCGCCCTCCTCGATGACCAAAACCGCATTGCAATTGGCACCCACATAAGGACATATAAGGACATTATCATTCTGCAGCTTGACGATTTCTTGCTTTTCAAAGCCTGTCGATCCAAACCTTGAATATCTAGTCCAACCGGTGCCGAACTGAATCTCCACACGGCACCATGCAGCTTGTCATCCTCGTGAACCTTGGCGAGAATGAGCACGCGAGACAGAACAGACTTGGACTGTTGATGAAGTCATGTTTTGAAGCTCAGAACCCAATCATGCTATTGAACGGCCCAGGTCGACGTGGCAAAGCCTCTCACATGACGTGTTTTTGCAGACCTCATCCTCAACCAAAAGCCATGATTGATGGCTTTTCTCGAAGCTATGAGAACCATCCAGCGACCTACCAAATTCAAATCTTCCACATGCTCATTCTCCCAGTCACAACGAGCAATAGACATGCTCATAGGCCTCCACCCCACAAAAAGCCGCGAAAAACCGTGGCGCCCGGCACACCGAGGCGGACGCCCGGCACACCCCGACAACCTCAGCACCGAGGCGGACAGAATTGGTCGCGAGGAGCTGTGCCATTGGTCCCACCAAACGCATCTTCTGAGTTCTTCACAAAACGGTTGAAAGTTTTAGAGAGGAGCAGTCTCAGCTTAACTAATGCGATGTTTTTTCAACTTCCGATGAAGACCCTCATACCTGGCACCCTATTGTGTCTGTTCCCTAGTGCATCGGGGGCAGATGGGCCAGGGTCCATGGCACACATGACCAAAACCAGGTTCTTGGAGCTTCGGAACCGGTACGACCTTCCAAAATGCTCCGCTCCTTTGAGTATAAAGGAGAAGTTCATTCAGTGTAAGTCCAAGAGCTTGTCCCTAACTCTGTCTCTTGGACACGTTGGACCTTCGGGGTTCTTCGTTTTGACTGCTTCATGCGCTTCAGCCCCGCGCTGCACCTGTTTGTGTCCGGCTCTTCTTCGCGTGAGGCTCAGCCGCAAGGCCAACGGCCCCGGCACGGCGGCGTAAACGGCGGCACGGGACGGCTCGAATGGGTCCTGTTGGACATCTCACCAGTAACGGTGTCTTTTTGACCTCAACGTACGATGCTGTTTTACAGTACGAACATGTTTTCAATATTCCTTACACAGTCTCTATTCATTGTTCTTGTCCTTTGACTCCATGAGCGGGCATACTTGGGTTGGGGGGAACGTTAAGGTCATCTCGCTTGGAGCAGCATAGGGGTCGGGACTCTATATAACTGGGATTGTTGTTGTTGTTTTTGTGCTTTATCTTGGGTGGTCTTTAGAAATTGTGTCTAGAAGAGTCATCAAAAGCAAAGAATGCAACAGAAAACTCATCAAAAGAAAGATGTCAACATAAAAGTCGTAGACAATAGCGACTTTGCCAGAAAAGTTATCAAAAGTAGCGATTGTAATGAGTCAAAATGAGAGATTTTGACTAGTAAAGTCATCAAGAGCAAAGAATTCAGTAAATTCATCAAACATGTTTCAGGAGAAAAGTTATCAAAAGTAGAGATGTTAAGGGGAAAGGCATCAAAAGTATAAATTGTTTGGGGAAATATCGAAACATCCAGTCCATCGATGTCTAGGAACCTAGTGTCAACCTACAAAGTCAACAGATGGATTAATCAATCAGCTTTCCACCGTTCGCCCACTCCCGTCTCTAAACGAGTTCCATCCGCCACCCTCACTCCTGCGTACATCCCAAAGTCTTCACGAAACCATCACATCCACAAAATCAGCTATATAAGGTAGACTCTCGATGAATAAAACCCCCACACGAAGAGGCCTTACGATCCAAAAAGGGGTGGGGTTCTTGATCAAGAAGTCTACAGATTACTATATACATCTATATACATTACTAGCTTAAAGAGGTTGGGGGACCTCCCCGTGGTCGCTCCTACTCCTGTGACGCATTACCCAGCTGGAGGAGCCCAAGACCCGCCCCGTCCGCAAAAGAGCTACGCGGCGTCGAATTCGCACCGCCCCCCAAGCACCTGTTGGGGGGCCGTCCATGCACTCCGTCCGTGCAACGCCCCAGGTGACGGGCGTTAAGATGTGAAAGAAGAGGACGCCCCAAGGACCTCTCCAATGCCTTCTCCGTGGCATTTGGGTGTCCTCAACTGTCTTAGGGGTCGAGAAATGAAGATGATGTTAGACTCTTTCTCATGGCGCTGTGGCTCCGTGGCAGTCATCGGAACCACCGGTTACGCGCGAATTCGGGGTTCGAGGTACCCAACCGCCGCCCTGCACATCGGGTGGAGTGCGGCAGAAGCCGCCCGGCTCGTCACCTGGGGGGGGGGAAAAGTGCAACCAGTGGGGCGGCCGTGCCGCTCTCGCGAGCACAGGAGCAAAAGATCTTCCAAGTTGAAGGACTCGAAAAAGACTAGCCCATTAGCACTTCTCAAGGCCTATCAGTAGGGAGGGTAGTCTAGCCAGGACACCCATTACGGGTCTTAGTTCAGGTCACTTCACCTCTCAAGATCTTCGGCCAGTTCCTGAACCTGTCGCCACCACAGCAAGTCGGCTTGGCGCTGAAAGCGCGCCCCTGGCGCGCGCTGGCGCGCCACGAATTCCACAAAAATGCTCATGGCAAACCTCCTTCAGAGTGGGACCACCTTGATCTAGTTTGTTTTCAGGAGCATCCTACTGGGCGGTGCTGTTTAGCTATCTAAAGCTTTGCACTGGTAGAGTCGTAGAGGGGGGGGCCCCACATCTCCTTAGGAGCAGAACTCGAGGTTTGGGGCGACCGGTGAGTTGTGGAATTGGCGACAGCTCAGTATAGCTTAGCGAGGCTTACCACGCAAATGTTGCAGGCGTGGAAGCAAAATGGCAACTGCCAACAAAAACATACAATCCTTGAAACAATCATGGAAGTGGAAAACCACCTCTTGGTAGAGGAAAACGGTCTTCCAAGAGGCCATGTTCCACATTGTTCCACTTCCATGTTTGGAGGGAGGGTACCACGTTCTGTTTCTGTTTCGGCCCGCAGAATGTCTGCCACCCTGCAGTCCGTTGTGCGCGAACGATCAGTTTTGGGGGGGGGGCAGTAGCTCTGTGAGGCATTTACCATCTGACTCTTTGTAAGAGCTCTACTAGAGTAGCATTTACTCTTTGTGAGGCATTTACTCTTTGGCAGTAGCTCTGCAATCTGACTCACGAAAACTTGGAAGTAAACAAGCTCTTTGTTGCGAGGAAGGTCGTCTTCCTTTGGGGACCATGCCATCCATGTTAAACCGTTCGTGAGTCGGAGAGGCGAGGGTTTCAAGCCTCCCAAATACCACTCCCTGCATCTCGCGACAGTCACACAGCGTTCGAACAACAGTCACAAAGCGCGTCCGTCCGCTGACTCCACAACTCAGGCCGTTTGGCATCCCTTCGAATTCGGCGGAACCGGCTGAACTGCCGTTCCACACGCTTTCGCCGACAGACATCCCTCTCGCTGTCGACTAGCCAGGCCCACATCGGCGCCGGTGTCAACTTGGCACCGTTCATTCTTCCTCAAGGACTCCATGGAACTGACCTGCTTGGCATATCATACTTACATACTTTGGGGTGATTCACCCGGGGTCAACATAGACATGGCATTCATATGCATTCATGGTATACTGTCTAGAGTGGTCTGGGTCCTTCATCCTCCTTCATCTTCCTTCATCCTGCCCTTGTTGTGCTGGCCATGCCGGACTCTAGTCCCAAGACCCACTGCCATCACACGTGGACAAGTTTGCAATCGACGTTGCGGAGTCCTCACCTGAGCGGTTCTAGAAAACGACTGCAGTGGCGCGGGGGTCAATTTGGATCGAGATGGAAGACGATTCGAACCCTACACATCCCCAAACACCCTTGCAGACTAGCATGGAACCTGAGTGCTCCAAAGTGTTCTTGGGGTTGCACAAATTGTTGCAGCAAGGAACCTTTGAACATATCTGAAAACACGGGTCTTGTCAAGGAAAATGCTCTTTCCATGGTCCATTTTGAGATTCTATGTCAATCTGCCAGGGTGTTTTTTCTCAACTCTCATGGTCAGTACTACTACTAGTAACAAGAAGCTACTATATAGGTGGAGGCCATCGCTCAGGTCTTCTCAAGGCTTCAGAATTGATGTAACAAACCACAGTCACCACGGCGATAGACACAACCCCCCCTAGATCGAAGCTGGAAGCTGGGTCAGTCTCCACGCAGTCAGTCTAATGACCACTTGAAAAGGCGCTTGGACCGTGCTACCTTATAGTGAAAACAGGCAACGGCTCCAGTAGATTCAACAGGCGCAAGCTGAGTAGATCTGGCAAACTGACAGTATCCGCTGGGTCGTTCGTGTACCCTGGTGCCCATGACGCATAACTACCGCATTGGCGAAGCACCATCAATCGACACTCCAAGCCCTTGGATCCGTGGTCAGTGTGACTGCACCAAGTTAAGAGAAACATCCAACATCCAATATCCACCTCAACCAACCTGCCCCTTCAATGCAACTCCGAAGAAAGAGAGGTACTTCGCTCCATTAGTCCGGGGGGTCGCTCCGTTCGCCCATCCCGCAGCTCCCGCAGCTCCCGTTTCCGCGCCCACCGCGGCGGGACGTGGCCAAAAGACTCATGATGTTCTTTCTCCGCCTCCGCTGATACAGCGGAGACTTGTCCGGATCAAAGCTGGAGTTCGACTCCTGCAAGGAGTTCGGTCGCGTCTTTCCCAGCCGCAAGTAGTTCGGTCGCGTTCGGTCGCAGCTGGAGTCATCGAAATCATCTATCAGATCTACGAATGTCTTGAAGTTCTACTTCTCCATCGGACGAACAGCATCAACCTGCCAGCCTCTCGAGGCCCCCCCAAAAACCCAGCTGCCAAGCCTCTGACCTTCTAAGGGCTCGCCTCGAAAGAACTCACCTGACTTATAGAACATCCCCACAAGATGGCTAATGAGGCCAATGGACACCCTTCTTCAGGCCCCCTCAAAGGGGCTCTTATTCGATACCCCTCTTCAGGCCCCCTCCCTTGATCTCCATTCTTCCCCTTTCAGTCGCACCTCATCGCCCACCGTCGGCGGACGAAGCGTGGGCCGACGCAGCGTCGCCCGCGGCGGCGGCGGCTCATCCACGGTGGCCGGACAGCTCTTGATGTGGCCGATGGCGACTTCCTGCGTTCCGTGGCCGCGAGACACGCAAACTGCGGGATCAACTCCCAAACAACGACCAAGGAGCTAAGATCAAACGCACCAAGACATGAGCTGCATTGCATGCTTTTACTGCAACATGCACAATGCCAACACATCACCTATGAACCCAAACACGTGCTATCGGCAGATTCTACGAGTAGCACAGACATGCAAAGACTGTCAATACCAGCAAGCCCGCCAAGGTCGACGGTTTTCATAGCACCACCTCTCAAAGCCGCTCGGGCGATGAAAACGACGGTACAAACGACTCTCAGGTCACACCCCGGACTGTCGTTCAAGCCAACAAATGCCGCTGGTTCACCGCAATGCCGCTGGTTCCAACAAATACCTTCTAAACCCAGGTCACGCAAT